AGTGCAATTCTTTTTCCAGAAACATGTCATTATAAACATCCAACAAAGTTTTAGTTAGCCAATAAGAAAAATGCTGTAATGGAAAGATAGGGAATAATTTATTCACAGGCCAGTTAATAAGACCCTGGAATGTTCATGCCAAGAGCAAGTTTTCCAACCATATTTCCTTATTCTGATTTGTTATGATCAATAAAACACCTTTTTAAGACATGAAAAAGGCCTTTAGCCAAAACAATGTGGTTTTTGACCCAGAAATAGAGAGAAAAATATATTACTTGTAGAAATATAGAGAAAAATAAATTATGCTCCAAGATTTTCTCCAAAGCATTGCGAATCATGGGGCAGGGGACTCTGAAAAGTTAAATGCCCAACAATTGGGGAATGATTCCACAAATTAAAACATCAACAAGTTGGAATATTGCTCAACCATTAAAATAATACTTTTCATATGAGTTTTTGAATATGGAGAAATGCTTACTTTATAACATCCTGTACACATACACTCTCTCACTCTCTCGAATGAAAACAACAAAGTACCCAAATATTAAGGCTGGTTATCCCTGAGTAGCAGGATTATGCATAATTTATTTTATATTTATCAGTGTTTTAAAATTTTTCAATAATAAAAGTATACTTACTTTCCATTAATCAGAAGAAAATGTAAAAATAAAATACCAGAGTTTCTATTTTGTGAATCAGCATCTTCTAATAATGATTAATCAGTAAGCTTTTAAAAGATGGTAACTGGGAAACAAGTATCTTTTTCTCTCCATTCTGCACTGCTTTTCTCACTCTGCTCTTTCTAACTCTTCCATTTCTACTTTATTCACATCAGCCCTCACAAAACCCCTTAACCAAGATACCAAGTAACTGAAGTGTAATGATTCAATATTTCAAAATTTGAAAACAGTCCAGTTAAACAGTTTAATTTATCTTAGAACATATAAAAAGGAGGTAAAATACCTAATGGTTAAGAGAACAATTAACAGATCCTAAGGGCTTCAAAATCAGACAAATCTAGGTTTGAATCTTAATTCNGAACAATTAACAGATCCTAAGGGCTTCAAAATCAGACAAATCTAGGTTTGAATCTTAATTCGCCACTTATGGGACCTCACACAAATTTTATGTTCCTTAGCTGTAAATTTAGACTACCACTCTCCTCCCTGAATTGCTGTGAGGATGAAATGACAGGATGCACATAAAGCATAACATAGTAAATAGGCACTCAATAAAAGGTAACTGCTGTTATTGTTTTGCAGTAATGTTACTGCTGTTTTTGGTAAACAGCCCCTAAATTTTAATTTTCCTGTGGGAAAAAAAACTTAGTGAGGTACAGTGGTTGTTCTTAGTCATTTGGACTTCCCAGACCACTCAAATTTCAAAAACAATTTGGGAGATCTACATGGAGCTGTCATGTAATTTTCTTTACAAAGTGGTTCTTATTAAAACCTCACCAACAAATTTACCATTGCTATTATTTCATAAAAGAAAAAGCACTTGAATACTCTCTAAAAAAGTAGAAGATAGTCTCAGAATAGAGGAAATCATTCCCAAGAAAAAACAGTTGGCAAATGTATGCCAAAATTATCCTTATTGTTTTCATTTTGTCACATACCAGTAAACACCTAAGGATCAACACCGGCCTGTAAACTGGCCCTTGATGAAAGACACAACTTCTTAGCCTAATTCTTCACCTATGAATCCATGAAGTTGTTCTAGCTACGTCATGGGGATGTTCATTCAACAAACACTAACCAAACACCTATTACGCTCTTACAGAGAGGAATTCAGAATCAAATGAGGTCAGGTATATGAAAACACTATATAATATACAGTGCCTTGTATACTGCAAAGCACCATAAAAATGAAGTATTATTATTATTACAAAAAATATAAGTATCTTACTACAAATTGATTCCTAAGAGAAAAAAAAGATTACCCATTCACACATTTTAATGGCTTAATCATTTTCTATATTCATGCTGTCACAAATGATATTTAGAATTCTTTGGAATAANATGTTACTTCCCTCAGATGGTTGTAGCTCCCCAGGGAAAGTTATTAAGTCAGAAATTGTTGCTATAATTACCAGTAATGTAGAATCAGGATTCTAAGGGAAAAAAATGTGACAGGATATAAAAGGTAGGTTCAGACAGAAAGAAAATTTTATTTTCTTATTTTTGAAATTGATGTAAGATTTTTCAGTGTTAAAACTGACTTTCCAGTGTGATGATCAAGAAATATAACAAGACACCAAATGTAGAAATTATGCAGCTTTATAATTTTCTCTGTTGCTTCTTAATCCACTGAAAATAATTTCACAGTTTAATACTTTAGGGAAGCTTCTTTGCTAGATTCTTCAGTTTCTACTTCTTTAGGCAATAATGGATCAATCTTTAGTAACAAACCTTCACTTGTTGAACTACGAAGGAAAGCACGTACCACAAAAGGACCTGGAAACAAATACAAGAATCAGCTTTGATTTTATTCCATAGACACCTAATGAGCAAAC